GCGGTAGTAAGCTTCTTGTCTTTTGCTTGTTCTGAGTCTTCGTACAAGTTTTTGAGAACATCCCAGATCTCTTTTGCTGATTTGCAATTTATGATAATATCGAAGTTGTCAGGAGCAACTCCGCAAGAGATTTCATAAAAGGCAACAGCATCATTTTCCATTTTATCGAGATCGTCCTTGGTGGGACGGTTCATGGCTGGTTGACCTCCTCCTAGTCTGGTTGTAGCGCCGTCAGTTTGGACTGGTGTAAGGACTGGGACGTGTGGTCCTTCTTCTACGGATCGCCATACATCTCTTCCAAGTCTCCTTAAGTATCTTTCCATTCTTTGTGACCAGTGATGATATTCATTTGCTACCAGTATTGGGGCTCGGTTAGAACAACCAACACTGTTGGAAACATTCAGAGATAACGATTGTGCCATTTGAAAATTCTTTGAAGAAATGAGCTTTAGTGGTATAGAAGGCCCTTTGAAAAATCAGAGTTCCGTTTTCAAAAAGCAACCACTATGGCTCTGATACCAATTGTTGAGAGAAAAACTTAGAGACACACTTGAACAAAACGTTAGAACAAGTAGATTACGGAATAGTTAATCTCGAAGGATCTAAAAGCTCAACAATAATATTAATAAGTTAGAGTTAACTAGTTAGAGAGTTAGTTGCGAAAATGTAAAGAAATGGAAATGACAACAGTTGTTATATCAAGTATACACATAAGTTGATTCATAACAAGGAATGCATTCAAACCGAGTTAAAAAGGAAGATCAAACTTAGTGATTAAGTCACAAAAGACTTGCTCCGGAGAGAGGTTATAATCAGTTATGTTCTAGTAAGAATTGAGAGTAAGAAGTGATGAGTAGAAAGATAGAGAAATAGAGAAGATAACTTCAGAGAAATGTATTCAGAATAGATGCGTGAGTTATCGTATGGAATACAAGAGAATGAGCTCTTATTTATAGAGACTCATGAAGTACACTAGATTACATCTCTATGAGTAGCCATGCAAGGCATACTGGACAATAGAGTGTTTTACAATAAAGACAAGTAAAGTATCTAGCTAAGTGACTGCGGTAGGAAGAGACTCCGGTTGCGGTTGCTGATGAAGAAGTTGACTGCGGGTGCTGGATGGCTGCGGTAGCTGGATTGGTTGCGGTAGCTGAAGTTCTAGAGGGTCACTTTTTATGATTCAACACTAACTCTAAGTAGCATCGCCGCATAGCCCTCGACAGACAGCCAAGACAGCGAGGCACCAATCGTCACTACAACTAAAGATGCAGCAAAGCACCAGGTTCCATTACACTTCAACCAGGACTGGTCACCCGGTCTAGACACAAAAGATTGCATGTTGTTGCACCCAATTGTGCATGGTTCAACATCATTGCCTTGAGTCGCTTGGCTTCTCAGCCCGACTCCATTATCGTGGCAAGCTCCGCGCGCGAGGTTGAGTACCCTTGCCTTGAGTCGCCTGGATTCTCAGCCCGAGTCCATAATAGCGGCAAGCTCCGCATGCGAGGTTCAGTACCTTTTCCTTGAGTCGCCTGGCTTCTCGGCCCGACTCCATTATAGCGGCACCCGCCGCCTGCAAGGTTTAGTATCCTTGCCTTGAGTCGCTTGGCTTCTCAGCCCGACTCCATTATAGCGGCAAGCTCTACCTGCAAGGTTCAGTATCCTTGCCTTGAGTCACTTGGTTTCTCAGCCCGACTCCATTCTAGCGGCAAGCTCCACGTGCAAAGTCGAGTACCTTTACCTTGAGCCGCCTGGCTCCCCAACCCGGCTCCACTACAGCAGCCTGCTCCTCCAACGAGGCTCAAAGGCTTGCAAGCTATTCCTATATGATTCCACGTGATGCCCTACCGCACGATACATCTACGATCTCGGGCTGCAAAGCCCGATCTTCATGCGAAGCTCTCCCGCATGATGTATCTACGATCGTTAGCAGCTAAGCTCAATCTGTTCCACGCGTTGCTCTCCCGTGACATCTCCATGATCGCTAGCTGCTAAGCCCAAGCTATTCTTCTAAGTCGCACAACATAAGTCGCGCATCGTCGTGCACCATAAGTAGCGCATCATAAGCTTATACCACGCCTAATACCATGATATCGGTGTTTCCTCTCTCACAATCGTCATGGTTCTTTTGTGCTCGGATGATCGATGAAGCGTTTTCTACATTACATCCTGCTATAGTGAGGTTACTCTCCAGCAAGATGGTTAGCCCGACAACGGCCCTGCTACCTACTACCTTTCAGCATCTCTGTTTCTTGGCCCTCGGAAGCGGTCTTGCTGCACAAACCTTGCATATAGCCTCGCCGTGTATCCCTCAGCATCTCTGTTGCCTGGCTCTCGGCAATAGTCTCGATGCGCATCCCCTACAAACAACCCCTACTACTTACATTTCAGTCACCAACCATACGACTCATCGGTTTGACAACATCCATCTCGGACAAGAGTTTTGCTACTTTTATTATGCCAACAACTTCGTCGTGTATTGGTACATCAACCTTACCTTATTCATCGTAGTCTTAACTGGCTACCTAAGCTACCCACATAAGACTGGGGGAATCCAGCTAGGTGTAACCTAAGAAAGAAACACCTTCAGGACTGTTATCAATGCTCACGTAAAGCAGACTATGTAGACGGTTATCGGTGACATCCCATATACGTGTGACTACAACAACAACTACGTCGGAGAACAGTCTTAGGGACTGAATGGCGAGCCTATGCTTCTCAGCTACCTTGGCCCAACATTTTATCGACATCATCGTCGCATTGCAGCCTCGCCCCGTATAACATTATCAGTAGCCTTGCTCAGAATAACGGCAACAATAGCTACGCCGCATCATTGATGGGATCATACTCCTAACAAGGAAAAATATTTAAGCCAACCCATGCTTGGCTCATTACGCGACACCACGACTCCCGTGGGTTAAGTTCGGTCATTCTTTTTATTCTTTGATGCATTGGTGCTTTGTCTAGTCCGATCCGGTTGTCAGCAATCCAATCACACCAGACTGGGGGGGGACTTGATGACACATGGTTTATATGACTGAGTCCAGTCCAATGTCATTGGCAGCATACCAATAACATCGGACTGGGGGAACTTGTTGATATATGGTCCATTAGCATGGCCTAGATAGCTCTGGCGTGCCAGCCTCGCCTGGGGCTCCCTTTCCAGCCTTGTTGGGGACTCCCTTGCCAGCCTTGCTGGGGACTCTCCTACTGGCCCGACTTGGTGCTCCCTTGCCAGCCTGATGACACATGGTTTATATGACTGAGTCCAGTCCAATGTCATTGGCTGCATACCAATAACATCGGACTGGGGGGACTTGTTGATATATGGTCCATTAGCATGGCCTAGACAGCTCTGGCGCGCCAACCTCGCCTGACGCTCCCTTGCCAGCCTTGCTGGGGACTCTCCTACTGGCTAGGCTAGTGGGACTCCCTTGCTAGCCTTACCGCGGACTCTCCTGTTGGCCCGGCCTGGCGCTCCCTTGCCAGCCTTTCCTAGTGCGCGCCCGCCAGCCTCGCCAGGCGCCTCCGGGCGGCCTCGCCCAGCTCCTTGCTAGCTGGGCCTGAATTGGGCTGGCCCAAGGCCTGACCTAATTCCCCTTGACCTAATTATCCACTATAAATAGAATAGTGCCTCCTCCATAGAAAAAGACTTTTCCCTTTTGCTCAGCCGCTACCATAGACATCCCCCATGGCCCAGCCGCCACACTATACTTCGGCCGGGTGGTTCAGCCACCACCCTCCGCCGTCAGCCACCAAACACCACCACTAGCACCAAGATGGTTCTCTCCAGCAACGGAGAACCATCTCAGATCTATCAGCTGATCTAACTTGATCGTTGGAGTCCGCTCCCGGGGCACAGTCCCTTGGGCGGCTCTAACGACCTTGTATGTTGTGACATTGCAGATTTGTCTCCGGTGTAGCTGCACTCCCTCAGAGCAGGTGGTTGGAGCAGATGTCGCATCATTTATAAAGGTCCCCTGTTTCTAGGAACGATTACGTGCTTCTTCTCTCCATAATCTGTCGTCTCAACCTTCTTCGTCATTTCTCTTTTCTTCTACATTTTTCCTTTCTGGTTTTCGATGTCTTCCATCAGATATGGAATTGTCCCTACACCCGAGGAGTTCGAGACTCTTCAGTTCCGGTTTGGTTTTATGCCCGAGCATGGCGTCCAGTTCCCATTGGAGGGATCTACTATTTATAAACCGCAGGCCGGGAAGGTCAGTATTCCGGTGGCGAATTTTATAGGTCGGGTTCGTCTTCCTGTTTCCGACTTCTTTGATGAATTCATGTGGGAGTATGGTTTTTCTATTCACAATCTGACCCCGAATGCCATGAACAAGATAGTTGGGTTCGAGTTGGGGTGTTGAGCGCTGGGTGTAGTTCCTCATTTTCAAGCGTCCCAGTCTTTCCTTTATTCGTCGACTCATTCAAGCGTTCACACTTTTCCTCAACGCCGCAACATACATTCCTTTATAGTTAACCAGAAAGCACCAGGAAAAACTGGCAGGATCGATGGCTATGGGTTAACAGTGATTTGGTTGCTGTCGGCTATCCTCGTGTGACCATGGCTTCGTACCGGGCGACCCATCTGCCGGGTGTTGGTTTATCTATGTCCCGCACACTGAGAGGAATTTTTTTTGACGACGAGGACTAGCCGGACTACATATTGGCGGCAATCGGGATGAGCGCTGCTTGGCATTCGTGTGGGAAGATGCCTCAGTTTTTTGTGAGTAATGGTGGTAAGTGTTACCTTCCTTCCCCCCCCCCCTCCCTTTTGTTTGTCGTCATGTTTCTCCCTCTATTTTCTTCTTTTTTCATTTTGAAGCGGGTCTTACGTTGTGGTTGTTATAGTTGACGAGAAACTTTTGTCTCTTGAAAAAGTATTACGGGGGAATTTTGCGGGTGATCTCCAGTATCACGAGGTACCCCTGGTGGAAGCGTTACTTGCTCTGGCTACTGTCGGGATTGCTCCCGAATGCGAGGCCTCTCCTGTCATGGTGAGAGCCGAGGCTACCTCTCCGTCTAAGGGGTCGGGTGTGCCTTGCTTCCAGTTCATCTCCCGTCGTTGGTCCGCTGTTGCCGATTCTGCCCTTGGGAGGATGTTGGTGGTGAAACTATTGGCCGACACTTACGTCGGAAAGGCAATATCGAACCTCTTCTCGCTAAGTCACATGTTGTTATCGAGATTGCTGATGGTGATGGGTTGTTAGCGGCAGAGGCAGTTTGTTCACACCGTCAAGGGAAAACAATCGTTACGGGAGGTTTCTCCACCTCACCCTCGGCTTCGAATGATATCTCGTCGAAGGTGGGGCCTTCCCCTTCGGGCACTCCTGGTGTGTATCTCCCAGGGTGGAACCTTACACCCGGTTTTCTATATCGGAACAAGGTCCTGCTAGTGAATGGTGTCGTCATGCATTTCCTTTTGCTACCCTGGAGGCCCTTGATGCCCTTCCTTATTATCATATGGCGGATGATCTTCAGTACGCCGCTGCATGGTGGCGGTGGTCGGTCGTCTCCGTTACATCGGGGCTGACCGGGCAGAGTTGGTTCTCGTTAAATTAGAGCGCGACGAGCTCGCAGAGAAGGTCTGGCTCCTCGAGGAGGAGCAGCGTAAGTTCGATGAATGCTACCGTGTGCTATCTGGGGAAAAAACAGATGCTGAGGCTCAGGTGGCGACTCTGGATAGGGAGGTCGACCGCCTATCTCAGCAGGTACAAGATTTGGCTACAGAGAAAGCTATGTTAGTGTAACGTTTGGCGCTGCGAGGTAGTGAGCTTGCAGGCGAGGTCTCGAGGAGGAAAGTCCTAGATACTGATTTGTCTTGGGTTCTTTAAAATGGTATGGTCCGCGTAGTGGACCGTGTTGTCGAGAGCAGTGAGTTTACACTCGGTATTCATCATGTGAAGGCCGCGTGTGTGGCTGCTAGTGTGGAGAGGGGAAAACAGGCGGTGCTAGTGTTGTTCTCTGGTAGCGGCTCCGGCCCATCCGAATCGGGCGTTGTGGTTCGGTCTACTGACGCCATGCACGCTTCCATTAGGGCTTTCGTTGAGATAGACTTTGCATCTTATCTTTGGCTGGGTGATCTTGGTCTTGCTGATCTCCGCCAATTGTGTCCTGAGGAGGAGGACGCTATTCCAGACGACGGCGTTAAGGGCGGCATGTGAATGCAGTCTTGTTAGGGTTGATGTTTTACAGGATGTTTTTTGTACGCTTGTTGTTGTTATTTGTTGTTTCTTTGACACCACAAGATGTTTTAAGTGTTTAATGTTTGTATGTTTTTGAGATGTCATCATGTTTGCTTTGTTTCGGGGAAGATTTTCCCCGGAGGGTATTTTGTAGGCCTAGACTACGGCCCTGAGTCAGGTGACCTACTTCCTTCTTTTTGTGGTCGCTTAAGGTGAGCCGAGGTCATCACCTTGAGGCTCCCTGGACCCGAGTCTGTTAGATTTTTATTTTTAGGGGAAGGTTATGATCCTTCATACCCTTTGAATACGTCTAGTTCGAGAGCTTAGAGGACTTTTTGTTTGGCCGCACCGACGTGTCCCATGAGGGATCATCTATTTTCGAGATATGTGGTTGCATATTGGTGATTTGGTTCGCCTAAACGGTGTGGGTGATCGGCCCATGATTTCGTTTGGCAAATTCGCACAACCCTTCTTTTTTTGTTTTTGTTTTTGGTTTTTATATTTGCAAGATTTTGCTAATTGTAAAGTGCTTGAAGAAAATCTCGAAGGTTTCGAGTTGTCACTTTGACTTGGGTAGGTTTACGTGTTGTCACCGACTTAACTCCGGCTCTGTGAGGGTGGAAATGAAGAGCCTGGGGATCACAACAAAGAAGATAAGACCGTCAGTCGTCGTCCTAGAGGTAGTCCCGGAACGAGGCTCCGACGATGAAGTCAATGAGTTTCTGAGAAAGATTGAGAGAGGATTTTAAGCGTAAAGAGAGTGTTAAATGGTTTTTGATATTGGCCCCCTCTCTTGGGAGAGAAGGGTGCCTTTTATACCTGTGGCGAAGGGGGAGTAGATCCCCGGAAATACTTTCTACTTTTTTTAGGTTCTGTCAGAGTCGGGTGAACTCTGATTAGTGAACCATGTTCCGCAAGAGGTTGCCTTCCATATGTGTAGGTCTGCCAGGCGTGAAGCTCTAGGGACCACACCTGTCGCCTTGCAAGTGGGTTGGTACTGTTTTGTCTTGACTCTGGCCTTGATGCTTGGGCGCTAAGGAATAAGTACAGGAGCGCGAGGGCAGGAGCGAGCGCAAGGACCCGACGTTAGTTGTTCGTCGCTCGGATTCGTTTTTTGGACTGACGGCTCCATTGTATTTGTCGGATTCCCGGTGGGCTACATCAACAGATGTGTTGTTGCTTCATAATTTCAGCTTCAATATTGGAGCATATTCGATGAATATAGCTAATTGAATCTTCTTGATTATTATGATTTATGATTGTGAAGTTGTTTTGATTGATTATGAATCTGATTTTTCAGAAAATTGACCAAAATGTTGTTAATTGTGAAATTATGTATTAGTTTTTAATGATAATGATATTAATATGGCAGCAGTACGAGATATGATTACGGGAGAGATAACGAGATCGTGACGATAAATGAAATTATGTATTAGTTTTTAGGGAAAATGACACTGTAGCACATGAAGGTTTTGACATTTGGCTAATTTGGTCATTGAAGTTTTTTTTTGGTACATTAGACCATTAAACTCCATTTTTACCTTTTAATTACACCATTATCCAAAAAATTAGACGGTTTATCGGTTCCAATGCTTATGTGGCAGGGTGATGTGTCCAATACGCTTACATGGGATACTGATGTGTAGAAGAAGCTCACTCATCCAACAACCCTTATTAATTGAAACCCTGAATCGGACCATTATTGAAATGTTTCTTACCCTTTTTTGAAAAGTCAAATCGTTTCCACCAACTCTTGCTATCCTCAATAACAATGTCTTCGAGCTCATGCACTTCAAGGAATCAGCTACAAGTGACTCATGTTCAAGTGTGAGAAGGGGTAAAGCTTTGTGATTACGATGTTCCTGCTAAAGAACGAACGTGTTGGAAGATAACAAACCCTGGGAGGCGTTTCTAGAATTGTCAAAACAGTTTGGTAGATCCCGATAATCCTGATCATGATACCTTCGTATTTTAGGGTTTGACTGTGGTGTTTCTTCGTGTAAAGTCGATCATCCTAGATTTTTATTTGGAAAAAAAACCCTAACTTGTTTTCTTCTTGAGGAATATTTTGTTGGATTAGTGTCTAAGTCCATAACTATAATTGGTATGTACTTGACCCGACTCGGCATGGTCCATTTGGGTTGCATGGCATCGGAACATTAGGATAGACCGTTTGTGAGGAGAGGACATTTGTGACATATTAATATATTATAAGTTCTAATATATTAATATAAATCATGTTATTTAATTAGTATTGATCAAGAATTAATTTGGACTTAATTTAGTGATCAAAAAGAGACTAATTAAATATATGGGGATTGATTGTGTAATCATTCATTCTTATATATGTGGGCTTATGATCCATGATTCCTTATGTTGGGTTTAAACCATGTGGTGATCCATGGATACTCCTTGGAGGTTAAAACCCATGGAGCATAAGGAATGGGTAAAGTCATGGGTTACATGGTTTAACCCTAATGTGCACACTATATAAGGACCCCTTTTGCTCAAGAAATTGGCACTAGATATACATATATGAGGGCTAGCCGATTTGAGTACGAGTGTCTTCTTCTCATGGTTATTCCATGTGTTGGTGATATTGTGTAAACCATTTGAGGTGTCACACTTGGGGCACTAGGCTCTCGAGCTTCATGGAGTGAAGCTACGTCAACAAGGTATGTATTTCTATCTAGTTTATTACCCAAGTATCAATGTTTTGTATGCTAGTTAGGGTAATACCTTGGAATATTCATATTTGCATGTATAATAGAGAAAACATAAATCCAAGGTATTTAGGGTTGCATGTACACTTAGGAGTGTAAGAATGCTCAAAACCCAATAGTGGTATCAGAGCTTAGGCTTGTTTTCAATTATATTTGATGCAAATTGCTGAAAAAAGCTGAAAAAATCGATTTTCTGGCTTTCTGGGCACTGGACTCGCCGAGTCCACTGATGGACTCGCTGAGTCCATGAATAAAACCATCCAACTCATCGAGTTTTGGTTCATGCACTCGACGAGTTGGACCCCCAGACAACATATATTCGAGGTTTTTGGCTGAAATTGGACTAGGAACATTACCCTAAGCTGTTTTTGAACTTATAAACCTGTTTTTGATGTGGTAATGTTCATGCTAATCCAATTTCAAAGATAATTGTCAATAGATTCATGTTTTGTATTAGTTTAAGGATTAGGCTAATTACATGAAAAAGTTTGATGTGAATTATCTTGTTCTTATGAGTTGCTTAGATTAATAGAAAAGTTATGTGATAATGTGCTTTCAATCCAAATTAATCTAAGAGTTGATCATAAAATGTGTTTTTTTAACTTGTCCTCAAGTTATATGAAAAGTCACATTTAAGATTCATAAAATTCATAAAGATTTCCATAAGTTATGAATAAGGAAGAGTCACATTCTTTTAATAGTTTAAAGTCTTCCATAACTTGTCCTCAAGTTATGGATCTTGAATGGTTTTTTAATTAAAACTACTTTAAACTCATAAGTTATGGAATTGAAAAGTTTTTGAATAGTTCAAAACTTGCCCTCAAGTTTTGGAATTTGTAAAGTTTTCCCTTATGAATACTTTAATTCCAAGTTAAGCCCTTAGAATTTTAAAAGTTAAAATTTAACCCTTATACTTTATAGTATTATAAGTTAATAATATATATATATATATATATATATATATATATATATATATATATATATATATAATAGCAAGTCAGTCTTACCGTTAGTAGGCCTCATTCACGAAGCCGGTCTATAAGGGGGTATAAGGTTACTGCCTATAAAATGGAAGTTTAATGGGTGTCCACTTTCACCCACCGCTTCCTTGACTGGTGGAGGGTTGTTAGCCGAACGGGTAGGACAAGGACTAGAATTCTCCCTTCATTAAAAGTATTAATGATAAATACTAAGTAACTAAACCTTTTATAAATTCTCAATCTTAGTTACTTAGGCAAATGTGAATTTGGTGCTAACCCATGAAATTACACTTTGCACTTTGCTTAAGTCGGTTAGTGGAGCGCGTGTGGTTAACCGGCACACTAGTTTGATTTAACAAGGTAGGCAAAGGGTAACTTAATGTTTATCATAGTATCGATGGAGCGCGTGTGGTTAACCGGCACATCGATTGAGGGATAAACATTAAGGGTACCAAGTATATTTGCATGGTTATTCACACCTTGTTTTGTGATCCTCGGCATCCCAGTCACAAAATTTGAGAGGGCATACTCGAGATTGAAACATGCCATTGAACAGTTCAATGAATCTCAAAAGATCTAGGAGTTTCAAATCCAATTAAAACCTAATAAATTATTTCGTTTTTCATGGTGGAAATTGGTGAATCGTCATTCGCCTACCTTCAAATATTCTATAGCTTGGATTATGGCATCCCTCTTCCAAGTTATAAAATATTGTGTTGGGTCCTAGCCTTAATATTTCTTACTGGGTGTTATATTAAGGACTTTAAATCAACTATCTTGAATATCTCCCAAAAGATGTCAAGTTCAGACATCTATGATCTTTCCCAAATCTCTTGGAACTTCACTTCCTCCACCTCCTCCAATTATTCTCCGTAACCCACAAGTTTAAGGTCACTCAAGCCCTATTGGCAAGCAAGGTCTATGTGTGATCGCATCTTGGAGATGAAGTCACATATTGACAAGCCGGGAGAGTTGGGTGTCAAAGTCTTAAGAAAGTTGGATGTTCAATCACTTTCTAAGTCACATAGTGAGTTCCTTTGGGACTACTATGAAACAGACTATGACATGACCCTTAATGATCTTATCTATTTGCTTTGTGTTGCTGAATCAACAATGATTTGGAGCACTGGTAGAGCAAATTTGATTAGAAGATCAACTTCCCAAACTTCCATGGACTTTGAAAATGGTAAAATTGGATATCCAGAAAAGATTTCTCTTCCCAATGGAAAGGGATTGGCCATAGTCAACTCGGTTGACCAAATGGTAAAGAGAAAGG